AAAGGTTTTTTAAAATATTTTTGTGACTCTCAAGAAAAGCGAAAAGCTGTCAAAGAATACTGAATAATTGCCTCAAATATTTTTAAGAGTGTGTTGTGAATTGTTCCAAGAAATCTTTCGATAGTAAATAAATTGTTAATGAAAATTTATTTTCCACATCAATTGCGTTTTTTACTTGCATTTGATAATGCGTTAGTACAATGAAAGTTCCCTTTATACATTTTTAAACAAATACGTTTCAGTAATAACTTTCCCTATTGTAATAGAAATAGAAGGGAAGGGAAGAGTGTGGGGTTTAACATGCTAGAATTCACGCGAAGGTAGTAGGGGAAAACTTGTGCTATAGCACACAAGAACACATATTTTCAAATAACTAAAGTGAAAAAGCTTAAAATAAATTAACAACAAAAATTTGAACGCTCTAGCCTATAATACGACGTGAATTAAGAAAAGCAACCAAATTTTAAAATATAGAAAGAATAGCGCGAGTTAGTGGACAACTGCCAACGATCACAATCAATACGCACGATTTAAATGATTGCGGTATCCGGAAGTCCTGCTGTAATTTCATATTGTAATTAATCCACAGGTTGATATTAAACTTAAAGTGTCGGTTCGCTAAGATATTCAATACGTACACATACTTAGAGCAACATTCCCATGTACCGAAGTGAAGTCTAAGCCTACTGAATTGTTTCTAATGCTAACGAATTGTATTTTTTACTTCAAAAGGTGAAAATTCATTATTCTTGGCTCGGAATTGTTCTTCATGAGGTACGTAAGAACGCAGAAAATAATCGAATACTTTTTAGTTATTAAATTTTCGTACCCCAGCAAGCTGGCGCCCTGTCGCTCAAAAACTTCCTCTATTCCTCGTGACAAATCCAGGAAAGTTAAATAATATTGCAAAGAGTAGGGTTGTACTTAAACAATCGTGTATTTTTAATGGAAAACTCTACTTGGCTTTTTCAAAAGTACAAATATTTTCTAATATTCTTGTGACTATCAAGGAAAGCAAAAAACTAACCGTCAAGGAACTTCAAATGTTTTTAAGGAAGTATGAATTGTTCGAAGAATATACCTCTGTAATACTGAAAAAAACTATATTGAAAATTTGTTTCCATCGTCAATTGCATTGTTTTTATTTTTGATTGATATTGGGTAAGTACTAAGTTATATTGGTACGTTTTTTACAACAAATAAACAACTTTTCTTCTTAATGGAAAGGATAGGGAGGTGAGCATTAACATGCCAGTCTGTTCGCACGGGTACGCTAGTATATCAATGTTTTGTTAGAATAAAAATTATTTTTCATTTTGATGTTCAGTGTAGTCTAATTGTATAAAAACCGATATGCAGCAGAAAATATTTTACTTTTAACTTAAATTTGTGTGTCGACTTCAATTGTTTAATGTCATCTGGCAATGCGATGTAAAGTAACGAACATGGTATTGTATGTGGTTTCCTTCAAGTGAGCCGTTGATACTGACTCTTGATGAACGTGATTACTACGACGTGTGTTGTAATTATAAATTTCAGTATTGCGTGAAAATATGTTCCCACCGTTAAGTCAGTCACTTTTGACAAACGTTTCCAGATTCGTAAATAAATAGGCACGGCAATGGTAAGATTCCAAGCTCAATGAGAGGCTTGCGGGGATCAAGTAATGGTATTTTTTCTTTATTCGAATAATTTTCTTTTTCAATTTGAAGGTCTGGGTACTACAGGATGAGCTTGCCCAGAATATTATCAGGAAAATTGTTCATTTGCAAAATATACGCAACGAGCTGCATGAAGGCTGACAGAATTTGAAAGAAATCTGCATGCATAACATAATGAACTTAATTTAGTGTTTAATTCTGTTATATATACATTTTATTTATTTATTTACGTCAAAAACAGTTAAAAACTGACGTGCTATGGGGAGAAGTTAATTTGAAGTTACATTTATGTTCAGAAGTAAAGCAAGGGGCCATCTCAGCATTTGCTTGAGGACCTGGACGAAAACCTGGTCGGGATGGGGGTCATTGACCCAGATGCTGAAGTACAATACTTGTTACAGGTTCTTTACAATTATACAATCAAAACTGTATAAAATACATTAAATGTCATTGTTAAAATTAATATTTTTTCCTTTTGGATGCTCGGTATAATCTTTAATTGCATAGAAACAGTTGTGCAGCAGAAAAGATTTTACTTGGGACTTAAACTTTTGTATCGAGTTTAATCCTTTGATGTCATCTGGCAAGGTGTTGTAAAATAATGTACATGTATTATATGTGCATTTTTTGTAGTGAGCTGTTGAGCATTTGCGGTTTAATTGAATTGAGATACCTAGCAATTTTGTTACTTTAACATCAGGTAATTGCATATTGTTTAAATTCAATAGCGCGTGCGATTGCCGATTTGAAATGCAAAAATGCATTTAAACAGTTTTTCCTTCGATAACTATTAATTTATTACTAAACCAATTTGAAACACACGTCCCCGTCAATATATTCCTTGTCACCCAGCTCGTCAACTTGAGGTGGAGTTGCCAGAACCTCTGCTGCATGATTTAATTTCTGATAATTCTAGAACCTTCTCGTTGCGTCGACTACCCTTTTTGGTTCCCTTGCATATAAACATTTGTTTTATAAATTTCGTGAAGATCCTTAAGAAATACCTGAAAGAACAAAAAATACTCACCTGATATAGTTGTGAATATTATTTTCGTAAAAGTAGGCACCGATTTTCTCTCTCTGCAATCAGAAGACAAACCGTGTTCTAGCCGGTTGCTATCGCCGCAACGGCGTACACAACGTATTTTTGGGCGAAATTGTCGTTTTGGCCGCGTAACCTTACATTCTACTGTCGTGCCATCCGCCGTTTGACGACACCAAAATTTGTTATATTGTAAAGCCCTGTTTATACGTATTTTGAATGTCTTTTTTATTTTCTATTTCTTGCTAATTTTACTAAGATATGTTTATTATCTCGCTGAAAAAATATTCCTTCTGCATTTAATGAGCAATTTCCAAGGATCATGTATTTATGCATATGTATCTTGTAAAGTGTTTTAATTTTTTGGGTGTCGTAAAATTATTTACTGAAATTTATTTCTTTTATAATCCACGTTCATATACCATACACATATGCATTTAATTGTAACTTTTAAAAAAATTTAAATTTGTAACTTGGACTTCCAAAGAAAAATTGACACTGAATGTTGTAAAAGACGACAGTGGGCATTAATGGGTTAAATTTCCTCCAGGTGATAGTGAAGTGGTTTAGAGAGATCCTCTGTTGAAATTTTGCAATTATTGCCACTGGTTGTCACATCTCATGGAGGAGAACATTTAGTTGATATTTGTTGTAGTTATTTAGGCACTACATTCTTGGAATCCAGCAGTATGTGTATCAAAGATTAGATCCACATTATTCCCAGATGCCTTTTGTGAAGAGTCAGCAATTTGTTGCATTTCATTTACGAGGTGCTTTATCTCTCTTTTACATAGTATCTATTAAATCTGTATCACAGATCTTATATAGTTTGATTGCCAAAAATGTTGTACAAAAAGTAGTCTACATGCTAATTGTAGTTTATTTAAGAGAGTTGCAAAGCAATGTAAAATAAATTGTAAAGACCACCATGCAAGAATTCCTAAAAGCATTTGACGATCTCTGATCTCAAACTAAACACACAAATCAGGATCTTCATCCTGAAACAGTATTGTATTATAATTTATGTTCCAGTTTGATGTTTCTTTTTTGCATTAATATATATTGCTGAATATATGGCCCTTACCCAGGCAACACATTTAACACAATCTCGTGTCAAATTCTTGTCTTTATCAGATTCATATAGTTTTTCGTGATTTAATGAATGAGTATTTGACAGAGCAGTTACACACACACACACACACAAAATGGACCCTAAAAAACAGTTTCTATTTTATGCATATTTGGTAGATGCTAGAACAAGAGACATTACAATTACAATCTAAGAAATAAAATCAGGCATTTCATCTGCAACTCCTCTGGAGAAACGAATCTGTAATAAATAGATTACCCTAGTCCAGTAACACTTATGGTATTCTTATATTAAGTATTTAAAATATCTTATTTGTTTAAAATAAATAGATTTTCTAAAAAAGTATAAATTTTAGTTATTCTTAAAATTTATTGGTTTTTGTGAAAGCAACTTCCATAATTTTAAGAATTGCAATGTAAGATATACTTACTGTTTCAAGTTATTGAAGGAAGAAAAATACAAAACAATAATATACGGACCTTATTCTACAGTGGTTTTTAGAGTTAAATCTCTTTTAAATAAACTTCACATTAAAAGAGGAGGAAAAATGAACATTTATCATTTAATTTTTGTTGTGAACTGCCTTACAAAATTAAGAGTGCCCCCATACAAAATGAAATTAAGGAAGCCTAGTCAGTGCTATTATTTTTTGCAAATTGAATTTTCATAACTATCTAACCCCAAACTCACTCAAATGAACTTTGCCTGTTTTTGATATCTCCATTCTCCATGATGTAATCTTTTACTTTGATGTTAGTATTAGATGAAACTTATAGTTATGTGTAATTAATGTGTCATATTATGTAATTAATAAGATTTTATGCTTAGAAACACTTGATGTATTTTTGATGAAAATGATGCTAACTATCCCTAACTTATTGATAGTAGTAATACGTCATGAAATATACGTATATACGTGTCTTTCCAAGTTTCATGAAAATGATCATTAACAGAATCCAAGCGATTGAACTTCATCTCTAATTGTTAGTGTTCTGAAGGACTATTATATTGAAGAAAGCTTTCAAAATAAGGTACACAATCATGTATTGTGCATTCTTTTTCTAAATTAGGAGGCCTTTTGTTCTTGTTGCAATTATTGTTGTTACACATTGATATGTTCTGTGAGGAAAAATATTTGTAAAGAATATTAACCAAATTTTCAGTGCATTTACCAGTTGATTTACTACTTCTTTTCTGTCTTTTTCAGACGATGATGTCAATGAAGGAATAAGTTATCATTGTGCTCTTCCATTAGAGGTCCATGGGGCTGGCTATGTTCAATTACAAATGATTTCTAACTCAAAAGCAGAGAAATTGGTAAGAATACCTGTGTTTTTTCTTAGAGGTTAACATTAAATACTGAAATGCTTATAATAAGGATAGGCAATTTTGCTTGCATTTTGAGTGAAAGAAAATATTTGAGTATTTGGTGTATAAGATAATCAGTATGTACATACAGTACAGTATTGTTTTGGTACATAATGAAAAATAAAAGAGAAAACAACAACTTGTGAACTTTCTTTTCTTGTTAATAACATGTTCTGGCTTTTTTATTGTTTAATTTCAAAAATCCATAAATTTGATATTCCATAAGACATCCAGTTCCAATTCATCCAGAATATCGACAATCTAGTGTATTTTTAGCTGTGTAGTATACATAGTCGTGTGTTTCCAGATGGCCCCATGTGTTATGGTTTTGCAGCGAAGTTTTGATGTAGAACAATTTTGTCACAAAATCGCTGAAAGGTTGTGTGAAGAATCAGGGAAAAAGTACTGGTTTTGTAATGACTATGATGTGGAAATAGTTGATGTAAGTACAGTAGAATATTTAATAAGATACAGAAATAAATTTAAATAAGAAACTAAATATTAAGAATTTTGAATCAAAATCATAATATATGATTTTCTACTTGCATTTCTTCATCATTAACATCTTAACCCATTTCTTAAGTTCAGAATGACCTTAAGGAAAAGCAACTTAATTATATATTTATTTATTATTATTCAATTTGAATGTCTGGCAAAAAACTTCTTCTATTTAATTCCACAAGATTTAGTAATGTTCTTAATAAAGTTCAATAGTGTTGTAATTAATTACCATTTTGAAAAACACTGTGAGTCTGTATTTTTATTGAGTAAAATTTTCCAATGAAGAGAACAGTTGAAGTTATCTCGTCGGAACCATTCTGTCCTCAATTACCCTACTAAAAAAAGCAAGTGAAAATTAGATTTTAGAGAAATACTGGACCTCGGCATTCAAAGGAGTGGTACATGATTGCCATTATTTTCTCTGTAAGAATCTTTGCTTCATTAGCTTCCACGGTTGCAAAGACGTATTTAATACCAATTTCTATTTGTCCTTATAACTGAAGAAGCAATATTTTTTAGATAAACATGCAGCTGCCATGCTCACTATTTGTAAACTGTCCTGAGAAAATTATATGTATTTTTTATTTGTGATTGTAACAAGTATGAAATAAAACTTTCAGTTGTATGTACTTTTTTAGCCTGTATTCTTTTGGCGAGGAGTGATGCAAATGATTGATTCTTGTTTCATTCATCCAGGTCATTTCAGATTCTGTTAATTGCAGAAAACAAAGGAAAAAACATTAGTTATGGAAATCCGACTTGTATGGTAAATTCATTATGGTATATGAATCTAACAACAATGGTGGATTTCCATAATCCTATAATTGAAAACAGTGCCTTATATCCAAGTCTATTTAATTTTCTGTTCTGATACAGTATAGTCAAATGCAATATTAATATTTCTTTTTAAATTTTTCCAACATTAAAAATGTTGTTTGCAACAAAAGAGAAAAGTAGATTTTGTAGTTTTAAGAAGTATATTAGTTATAAATTATAAGTTTTCTGATGTTAACCTTTTGGACACTCCAGTTTACCGGTATTATAAATGTGATTTGTTTGCAAGTGTGCCCTAAACTGGACACTCCAGTTCACCGGTATTATAAATGTGATTTGTTTGCAGGTGTGCCCTTTATCTGGTGATGTTTTGGCTCTTGCCATGATGCGAATTCAGGCCACTGTAAAAACAAAAGGTCTTGCAAAAAGCCAGAGGTTAGTAGTATTTGCAAGATACATGTAATGCATCTGCAAATAATTATATGAGATACTGATGACATTAGTACTGCAACTATTTCCACTAGTACTACTACTAATATTATTATTATTATTATTAGTAGTAGTAGTAGTAGTAGTAGTAGTATATAGTATTGTTCTTTAACTTTAAAACTATACTCTTCATGTTGTAAGTGCTCACATTGGTTACAACTGAAGAAATATTTTTCTTCCTATTTTTCAAATTTGTCTAATTATACTGATATTGCTTGTGTTTTAATAAAAACATATTCACTGAAAAACAGTTATTGCTAATCAGTTATTATTAGTTTTGCTTTTGTCAGTCCTCAGTACAGGAAGTTGCAATTTTTTCTTGTAGACATCCTGTCAGTAGTCAACAGAGACGTCAGTACCAAGGAGGCTGCCATTTTATATGGAATCTTGATACTGGAGATTATTCTGTGGTTGACACCAAGCCTCTTGCAGAAGTAGACAGTACTGAAGAAAACGACCCATGGAATCCTGCACGAGATTTAGCTAAACAACTCAGGCAGGAATTACCCCAAGTACCTGTGCTGCATAGTGTTAGACATGTATCAAATAAGCCAGCACTGAAAGGTAAGTTTTATTCTTCTGCTACATTGTTATCCTGATTATTGTGTCTACCCAGGTTGATGAATATTTGGAAAACCTACAAAACTACTTCTAGAATTTAAGGTTCAGTAAGAGAAAAGTTGTTCAAGATGGCAGAGAAAAATCAGGAGATTTAATTTTCCTGAAAAAGTCAAGGGAAAATAAGAGAATTTAGAAATATTAAGAAGAGGGAAATTTTTGAGATAATTACAAAACTGGATCTCAAGTTACATTCATACATTATTATTTTGGGATCTGGTGGGAATCCAGAAAAATTTGAGAAATTAATCCCAGGAGTGTCAATCTGTTCAAATATATTAGTTTTGAGGAATAATAGTTATTAATAAAACAAGTTTGATGTGTTTTTATACAGTTAATTTTTTATAAGAAGATTTAAGAAGCTTCATAATAACACCATGTTATTGGTGTTATTATGAAGCTTCTCGTTCAATGGAACACATTAGGCTAATGCTCTCATGGCTCAGTGGCAAATACACTTGCCTTTGACCATTGAGGTTCCAGATTCGATTCCCATAGAATCCCCATAGAACCTAATGTGAAATGTGTTGCGACAAAATGAATTTGCATGCTTCGCAGGGGCTAGGTCCAACCCCTGTGAAGCGCCCTAAACCTTACCCCTGTATTTATTCCTTCCCAATTCTTGCTGATGAGTAGATGACGCAGAGGGGGCGTGAGAGCGCGAAGATGCTACCTATCGGCGATTCCCTGACTTGACTGCAAATGACATGACTTGACTACCCAGCTGCCCCCCAAGGATGCTGGGTTATTAATAACTGAGAATTACTCCCACTAAATTTAATGGAAGATTACTCCACGGTGCGCTCAACGCTCCTTAAGGAGCTTTTTAAAAAATCAAAAGAATGTAGGTATATTTTGGTCAGTATTTTAGCTACAAAAACATCAGTAGCTTTGCCCTAATAAAATTATCATAGAAACTTATAAATAAAAGAAAGAAAGAAAACCATAGAATTGCATTTTATGAAATTATTAAAATACACATTTAAGGTAATTAATTTGAATTAATAAGATGCAAAGCTATGTGTAGAAGGATGACAGATCTGATTGCTACCCCAATACATGTGCTCAGTACCTAACTAAAAGCCTCACACAAATTCTTTGGTATTGTCTCGGCTGCTTGCAGGTGAAAAGCTGGACATTCTTCTTAGCTTCTTAAAACCACAAATTTTTGTGACATTATATTGCCACATCGTCAGGTTGTCAGAGACAAAGAACACAAAATCACACATTAAGAAGTCACAAAATGGAAAACATATGCCATGGTATTAAGTGAAACACAATATGAAATTGAATATAAATCATTGCGGAAACTTTTTTCGTGTTGCACTGATCGATTGACCCTGTACACTCGCATTTCCTCGCCCAATGAGTGCAACTGCATTTGGAAGAGATGTAAAAATGTACATTGATAGGAGTATGCATTCTACATTTAAACAGAGGAACGAGTTATAAAAAATGTAGTTTCTTAACAAAAACTTCCCTAACTTTGAAACCCTCGCTATCTCCCTCATTACCAGTGAAACGGAGAAAGAGAGACATTGGATGTATACATAGGGCGAGAGAAGGAAATGCTGTTCACAACTCTATCACACATACATTAAACAATGCGAATTTCAAGTATATGAATGCTCTTAAGTGGCATCAGATAAAATCCTTAAAAACACAAATCCAATGCACAAAACTTCCAGAGGGAATTAAAAGTCCGAAGATGTCACAGTATGAGAGGAGGACCAAAAAGAAACAATGATGCATGTGAAGATGAAGAGGTTAGTGACAAAAACAATGATTATTTTATGGAATAAGAAAAAAAAGATAGCTCAAGCAAAAAGATTTAAGTTTCGTTATTAAGACAGTTTTCTAGTCACTTAAGCAATATGCAATTTTATTTTGATTAAATAAAAAAATTGTAATTTCTAGAAACCTCTTCAAAATTAGTTGACTTATTAGCAGAGTGAACTTGTATTAGGATTAATATGGTAACTTAATTTATGAAAAAATTGTTAAACCTTGGAGGTTGGAATCATGCATTCTGAAACAATTTAATGTTGGTATTGTTATGAACCATGTTTCACTCTTGTTACGTAATTACTAGTAAGGAAGCTATTCAATGCTAAAACCTGAAATTTTTTGTAAACACTATATTTATTCAACAATTTTGCTGCTCAGTAATAAATGCAAAATTTATATTAGTTCCATTCAAAAGAGCAAAAAATACTGTCCAAGTATTGTAGTTTCAGTTGTTTAGTCCAGAAGGGAATGTGGTGACCCAAAATTTGCAAAAATCTTATAGCCATACTGACAATTGCAGCGTCATCAAAAATGATTTTATCTATGATGTTACAACTTCGCAAATGTTCCTCTGAGACATCTGGAATATGGCATACAAAAGTTCATTAAAATCCAAGAGGGCCATGCCCTAGACCTCTTGACAGGGAATGTCCCAAATGTTTGTAACAGTACACATCACTTGTGTACACAGATCTTTTTCACTTGTGTCTGTGGTTTCTTTAAATCAGCACCATCTCCATAAAATAGTGTACAACAGAAGGCATGGGTCTGGCAATTGCTATTTTTGTCTTGATCATTTCCGCAAAAACCCTACTTAAGAAAATAATGTTATTGTTTCAATCAACCCCTTTCTTTAATCTTTGATAAGAAATGTTTTAATGCAGTCATTATGCAACTAGTTTTGTAATAAATCCGTTAGAGTACTGGTGATATCAAACACTTGCTTATAGTGTCCATTCGAGTGTGTGGCACCCCTGCCACTACAATACTAATTTGTAGCTCATGGCAATGGTGGTGATTGCAACAATAACCATCATAACGAGACAGAGGAAAAGACTTTCAGACTTTATTAGTACTTATCAGCATGATTAATATGTACAATGTGTACAGCATAAAGTCCTGACCTACAGCCAATGAAATATAATGTCATAATGAATGTCATTAAATTGTTGATAAATTATTTAATTTGAAGTTTTTCTTGGCTTAATGAATCATTATGTGTTGTTTTTACTGATTTTTTCCCCTGTGATGTGGCAACCATAAACACACTATTTTTCTAGGGTCTTAACAAAAACTTTTGACCAACCTACAAAAGGATTGGTTCTGAGCAATACTAATCAAGTAGTAGCCAAGTAAACAAACATTTTTGCCCTCCAACTTCAAATTGGAAGCTCACGATCTTGACAAATTTTAAAACAGTTGCGCACACATGAAGATTCTTCCCTCCCAAATTGCAATGTAAATCACACATCTGTGCATTTAAGAATCAAAAATATTGTTTGCTTTTGCTGTCTTGATTCAATCACATTTTTATTTTCTAATGCAGGATTACCCACTCAGGGTGGTATCAATCTCCTGGGGCTCAATGACATTTTGAAGGGTATAAAAGATTATTAAAGAGCTCTATTGCCAGTCGATGGGCACTATGCTGGAGGTGACTGTTCAATATAAATAATAAGAAGATTCCAAAAAGTACTATTAAGTCGATAATTGTTTTCTGATATGTAGCTACAGAACATCTGATAATAAATTACAAATGCACTAAACTTTTGTAATTTCATATTATTCAGATAAAAAAAATTGAACATTTTTGCAATTGCAAGGTGGGGATTGTAGTTTTGAAAAGAACCCCTAAAAACATATCAAATCTAATTAGCATATTTTCAAAATTTTTTGTTCACATACTTTCTTTAGTAGCTATCTACAAGACATTCAAATGCAATTATTTGTGATTTGTAATGATTGCTGTACCCTGAATCTTTTTCTATAACAAGCATAATTTTATGCTTGATTGTAACAAAAAATTTTGAGCATCTGGATCAAGATTGTTCATTAATATTTATATTTAAGGATATCCTGCCAAAAAAATTTTTTAGATAGGATGTCCTCATAAACAATAAAAATTGGAAACCAACAAGATGGCTATAAAATCTCGAGTTTGCTCTTGGTTTTTCAGTTGCTTAAAAAAACTAGTTTCTGAAATATAGATATCTGAATCCACCATACTCACATGATTAGAAAAATCTACATGAAGATAACACTCTCGTAATGTCTTCTTACATAGTTCAGCTCTGCATCAGTTCTGCAAAAGGAAACAATCTGACAATGTGTCAATTAATTCGATGTCTTCTAGCCTTGGTTTTTCTCTCTCAGAAGTAGTCATGCCATTGGCATCACAGCCTTCGACATGGTGTCACCCTGACAGCCAAGAGCACATGTTGTACTTTGACCTGTTAATGTAGTGTCTGTTTAGAATTCTCTTCCAGGTATTCAGTTGTGTTCTATCATTTTTTATGACTGATTTTAATTCCGTGCACTTCATGTGCTATTAAAATAAAATGTTGAGTCAGGATGTTATCTTTATATATGTTATTGATTTCAATGACAATTTTGTCAGAATATGAATACGTGAATTTGAACTATAATAAAATAATAAACACTACAAAATATTTTTTGTTGGTAGATCAAAGTAACATACAACAAAACGCATAACAAAAATAAGCTTGAATTTCATGATACTTCTATAATGGAAGTTGTGTTTATATTCCTTATTAATAGGGAACTGAATTTATTGTAATAAAAAAAGCAAAATATTATGTAAGATAAAATAGAAAATATGTAAAATAAAATAATTATCGTGTTCAAAATTGCAATGTACAAGGATTTTTAAAACAAACCTCGGCAATCAGATCTTCACATGAATTCAGAGCTGCTGAAAGAGATTGTCCTCTACTAAACTAATTGTACCATTGACTTGTGTATAGTGTTTATGAAAAAGTTCTGGATTAAAATTACTTCTGCCTCTTATAAATATCTGCTCATCCTTGATTCTGAGTTATCAGTTTTCAAGAGGAAGGGAGGGTAAGGAAAGGTTCCATTCTAATGGAAGTGAAGTACAGAAGCATTTCATTACTTTGTAAAAAAGATATTCCAGTATCACATATTGCACACTGCCATTTGAAAAGTTCCATTTGCATATATACATATATTAAAATATAATGAAATGTGTAAAAATATATAAAAATGGAATTATAGATAAAATATATAAAAATATAGAACTATACCAAAATATGTAACAATATGTAAAATAAAAGTGAAATGATTCAGGACACCTAAATGCAAAACACTAAAAAATATTATTGAATGCAGGTATCTTGTTTTTGTAAGAAAAATGTATTTAATAAAATTCTATTCCTGATGGTTTACCTGTAGTATTATAGATAAAATGTTTGGTGGTTGAATTTAATGAATCAAACCATTATTTTAATAGATTCAAGAAAAAGGTTAGAAATTCTTGATCTAATCTATTAATTAATACATTTACCTTAGACTCGTTTTCTGTGCCTTGTGATTGTAATTCAGAGTGATGTGTAAAATATTGAAATACTTTTCCTTCAAAATATGTGCAATTTTTTAAAAATCTAATTTAGACTTTGGGAAATGGGAATACAAATAAAAAATCAAAGTAATTTAGGGACTTTGTCATTGCTCTCATAAAAATTAATTCAAGTCATTATATCAAAAGTTATTATTTCTGGAGGCTTTAAAAAAATATCTAATGATTTACTGTTTGTTCACAGGTGTTTCTGCCACTAGATATGAAGACTCCGATCATATGATTGAACTAGTATTACAGTAGGAATAAGAATCAGAATTAGATTCCTGCAGGCGCAATGCAACGGAGCAATGTGTGTTTCATTCCACAGTAAGACTGATAGGGCAGTGGTGAATGAGAGGAGTTGTGCCATTGTGTTTTAGTTTTGTTCCTCTTTCTGCTCGTGAGCACAAGATCCATGTGAAGTATTAGCTGCATTGATTACCTGATTTAGTTAACGAAGTGTTTAAATAAGTGCTAGGACAATTTAAATTGCACATACTTTGGTGCCATTTTTCTATGTATGTGCATACTTTTTACGACTTGGTGAGAATTTAGTTTTCTTCAACGTAGAGCAAGAATTATATTCTTAGCCACTAGTATTTAAATGTCATGTATTTATGTTACATGATTAGGGAAAGAGCATTTCATATTTGTCAATGATGGTTATGTTACCGAATGAATTAATATTTTTCTTGAATGCACTTTTCTGCATAGTCAAGAAATTGTTGACAAGTATATTTTACATTAAATATAAGTAATTTGTATTCATGATTCTTAATAGAATGAGCTTTACGGCACTCAACAATGTATGGTGATTTAAGTAGCTACTGAGCTACTATTGCCTTTAAATGTTTTGTCAAAAATACTGGTAATTTGATTCTTTTTTAATTATTGTTCTTCAGAATTTTCTGCAACCCCCAATTGTACAGTTATGTTAAATATTCTTGCTGATTGATTTTCTTTAGAAAAAAAATTAAAGTTTGATTGTATCATTGTTTATTAAAATGGCATATTAACATGAATTTAAATATGTCAAGGTGAACTTCTTAAAAAAAAAGGTGTAACATAAAATGGCACAATTATGCTTTTGTTGTAAGATTTGTGTTTCTTGTGCATTATTATTTTGTTGACAAACAAAATTACTATGATGAGTTATAATGTTCCTGAACAATTTCTTTTTTAATTTTTTTATGTGAACTTTTGATACATAAACGGTAGTTTTTGTAAATAGTACATAATGTTAAATTCCTTCATCTTCTCCTTTCTGTTAGTGTGTAGTTTTTCTGATTTGGAATGTTTGGTGGTACATAAAATTCACCCAATTTATTGAAGACTTGTTTGAAATATTTCTTTAATAAATTTATAGGTAATATCCTCAGAAAATTAATCCAGTTATCAGTTTTTTACCACCATTGGTAATTATGCTGAAATTAAGTCTTTAATTTTTTTTTTGTTTAGTATTACAATGTTATATTTGTTTCGTAAAATTTTCAAATGTGTATTTCACTTACATACTTATAGTCAGTGCCTCATTATAAAACAATGCAATTTTTAAAGGTACTGTTTGCATTGTTTGTGTACCATGTGAGCTGACAAAGGTAAATGATATTGAATATGAAGCTATGTTCCTCAATTGTTTTAATAATCTGCTTTAGAATGTATATCTTCTGTCTTCAATAATTGCTTTCTAATGTATGAAACAATTTTTATCTTCCAGTTGTGATAATGAATATTGAGATATAAACCCCCTATTTAAAGAATGTGATTACAGGCAACATAATTCTCTGTAAGATAAGTGAAAGAAATAGGTTTTATTTCCACATGAATATTAAGTTTATTAATAATTGTTTCAGACGTTTTTTTTTCTTTACCCATCTACTGTTTTACTTGTACTTGCAAAAAATGCATAAATTAATAGCATGATAATTTTTTTTCCTAGCAATCAAATGCTGTAAGAACCTTCCTTTTGTCTTCCTTGTTTGAAATGTTTCTGCAGTTTTGTTTCTCTCCTCTCTCATAGACATAGCTAATCCTTCATTACTCATATTGATTGACTAACATGAATTGTAAGGAAATTAGTAATGTTCTTCAATTATTCTCAGTGCTCTTGTAATGATTTTGTATTGTGAATTGAACATGATAAACATGAACTTTTACTGGAAATAAAATAGTTATTGAAGTGAATGGTGTAATTTATGTTAAAAAAGTAGTAATTTTTATTAATTTCCAGAATAATTGCCTTTTTGTAATAAAAATTAATTCAAAAAAATTATCAACAATTTTTTAATATTATTGAACCATTCTCTACCCCAAATGATTCCTTGAATATCCTTCGGAATTTAAAGCTTTACAGTTGCTTTTTTTGAGGGTTGTTTCAGCAGTAACCCAGCTGGGACGGTGCCACGCTGGTGGGAGGTATCTGTTCAGGGGAAAATCCCTGTAACCTACATACCCAAATAATAGAGGAAAATCACTGCCTCCTCCCGTGATAATATGCACTATATACTTACGGAACTATTTGCCTTCACAGCTGACACACCGAGAAACAATTATCAAACAATTTGGGCAGGGGAGTTTTCATATAGTGTGAAGAAGACTATCGATTGTATGAAAATATGTGGTGAGTCCATAACATTGGAATTTCAATCTTAAATTTCAAATATTTGTATTATGTTCATTGTATATTGGTGAATCATGAGTGGCTGCATTTATAATGTTTGGAATAAGTGTAACCTTTAAGACTGGCTTGTCTTGCATTGTATTTTTTCCAAGAGTTTGATTTTCTTTGTGAAATATGGTTTTAATATAGATATTTCAAATTCCATAAAAGGAGCTATAAGTGTTTTCAGAGAATTGTTAAGCAATTTAAATGCCTTTTGGATAAGTAATATAAATTACCGTAGCGTTTGTCAAGAAGTGTATCGAATATGTAAAAATTATGTTTATTCGTGATTAATGTGCTGCTACCATTCGTCCAACTGCGATAAAACTTCAACTTATTGCTTGCACTTGCGCGAAGACGCCTTAGTACAATGGGAATGTGCATGTCTGTCGCCTATGTTTATGCTGGCTTGGCGCCCCTGAACAGAAGCTTGAGGCAACCCACCGCATCCTCAAGTATTAAGTGCGAATTCGCTGTATATTCTGCCCCGCGATTGTGAAATATTACTTGAATGTTATTTCGGACACGTAAATCAAATTTCTCCAAGACATTGTCTTAGTAAATACATGGCCAACCTTGAGGAAGAACGTTTTAACAATAGGATACTTGACAGCCATGTACAAACCAGCCTATAGAACAAACTCATATTCGCGAGCAAGTCTTTCATCTATTAAAATTGTTGCAGAGGGTAGTATAAAACGTGATTAACAATCATCGTGACTAGTAACGTGTGAAGTAATACTTTGCATTGGCAGGTCCATTAGTAACAAATGATGGTTATGGAGCACGAATTTATCTCTCGCTATAATGAGAGTGAACCAGGATTTTTCGTAGAGATTTTATTAATTTTTATGAGAAAGGTAGTTCTGACATACACGATCACTAGATTCCATGAATTTTTCGAATAGCATTTTATTTACTTGAATCCTTGTGTCTTTCATGTCCACAGAATATTTTTTTACTGTCAGTATATGTTATTTATAATATATAAGATTTATTTTACTAATGAATTATGCATTAATTGAATCAGTAAGTTCGTTACCAATAAGCATCTGTGGCTCCTTTATCATCAACGTACATCCCGAGCGCGCATCGGGGATATTTACCCACTAGGGGGCAGATTTGATGACTACAAGTAGCATCAAAGTGATCAGTAAAATTATCTTAAAAACTTTTTTAAAAATGCCATAAAAGCAAAAAAAAAAAAAAAAAAAAAAAAACCAAAACAAAAAAAAAAAAAAAAAAAAAAAAAAAAAAACGTAAAGATAGTGATCAAAACAAGTTCGGATGAACAACTCAAGCTGTTGCGTATTTCACTGATGTAATCGAGGCTTCTATTCGTTCAAGTGAACTCAGCTTGCAAACTTCTGGTTTGGCCAGTTCTTTACCAGGAAATCTCTGTCTTTAATTATCCCAAAATTGGCTAAACCGACAATGGCACTGATAGACGTCGCAGGAACTTTAGATTTCATACTCATTACGGCTGGCATTACAATTTCTATGCGAAGAAATCGAATAGGCTACTCAGGAACATTTATTTACGTCAAAAACAGTTAAAAACTGTGTGTGACGTGCTATAGGGAGAAGTTAATTTGAAGTTACATTTATGTCCAGAAGCAAAACAAAGGGTCATCTCAGCTTTTGCTCGAGTATCCGGGAAACAGGACGAAAACCTGATCGATATGGGGGTCATTGACCCAGAAGCTGAAGTATAATACCTGTTACAGGTTATTTAGAAGTATACAATCCAAATGGTATATAATGCATTAAATGTCATTGTTGAAATTAATATTACTTTCCTTTTGGATGCTCGGTATAGTCTCTAATTGTACACAAACAGTTGTGCAGCATTTTACTTGGGACTTAAACTTTTGTATCGAATTTAATCGTTTAATGTCACCTGGCAATGTGTAAAATAATGTGCAAGTATTGTGTGTGAATGTATTGAGCTGTTGATATTGTCACCTGATGAATATGATTACTACGTCGAGTGTTGTAGTTATAGATATCAGCGTTTGCTGAAAATGTATTCCCGCCCTTAAGTAAGTCATTGATGAAAAAACTTTCCATCATGCTCAGAAATTTGGTGGAAAGTATTTGTTCAATCTCGTAAATATTATTTGAAGCAAGTACCATTAAAATGATATGAAACTCAATGAAATCAGCAAAAAAATGCATTTAAAATAATGGGAAAAGGTAAAAAATTACTTTTTAGTGAAAGTCGAGGAAAAATGCAAAAAATGATTTATAAAAATTGGTCATTTCCTTTTGTCATAACATAATATTAATTTCTGTACTAAACGGCATTGTTCTAAAGGGGAAAGAAAATATGACATTTCACTAAAATCCGCCTCCTACCACCCAAGCAGATCAAGAGTTCCCGTGGCCACGCGAGCTGCGCCCGACCTGTATTTGGTTGAAAATCGAAATTGAAGGTCTCAAAAAAAATGCGAGTCGCAATTTCAAATATTGCCCCCCCCCCATTTAAAATTTAAACAGTTGTTGCTAATGAAACAAGCTAATCCTTCCCATTAATTTTTTATAAAAATGTCATAAATTTAAGTTGAATAAAATGTATTATGTTATATTAATATGTAATTAAAATGGAGAAATAAAATCGCCTAAAACGTATATCTATAAATGTATTGTTACCAGGGAATCCGCAAGAAGTTTCGTATAGGTCAAGGGAGTTGTAAACGAAAAAAGTTTGAAAACCCATGGGCTATTGAATGAGAACTGCTTGAGAACTTATGACACATACATTCATTTTTCGAAAAAAAAAACTATGCAGTATTTTGCTAGTCATGAAAGAAAAATGGAGTTTAGTTTCCAATGATTACCGCAATGTTTGCAGGAAGCAGAATTCATTTTCGTGTTTTGTAATATATATATATATATATATATATATATATATATATATATATATATATATATATATATATATATATATATTTTCTTTCGTGAAAGTGCATCCTGTGTGGAAGTGATAAATTGCATGTTTGTTTTGTAGTGTGCTAGTGAAAGTTCTTGGTGGAAAGGTGTTTTCCGATCTTGAATCAGAAATCTGTCTTCTTGAAAATGATTCTTCCAACGCAATAATTTCCTTCTGATAATGATATGTTTGAGTTTATGTATGGTTACTACCAAACGGGCACTACCAAACGCTTTCGGTAAGGTACAGAGTATTTTGAATTAGTTTTAAATCCATCTGTGGGAAGCTGCTAAGTTTGTGTCAATGCCTCTACCTGGTACAAAGCGATGCTGTTCGAGAAGAATGCTATGTGTTCCAAGGGCAAACTCTTGGATTTTGTGAGCTAAAAGTCGTGTTTTAGGAGTAATGCTTGTCAGGAATAATTTTGCGAACCACCAACTTCTGAAGTCACTAATGCAACGTTTGTAGCGGTGGGGTAGCTGGAGTTGGTGTTGACCGGATCTGGAAGTAGTAACAAGATAAGCCCCGTCCAAGGAGTGGGCATGACCCCCCAAAGGCCTAATTTTTGTTTGTTACCTTTATTTGGAAAAATTGATTTAAATATTGGTTTTGTTAAAATGATGTAATTATTTAAAAAAATATTATTGTATATGATCATATATACACTACAAAAACAATATACAACATAATAACAAAAGATTATTATTTAACAGAAATCTATTATGGCCCCTCGTTTAAGATAACCTGGATCCTTCTTCACCGAATTCGATAGATTCTAACATTTACGCAAAGCGAGATACTTGCTGTGGCCGGTGCGTCTTTGTAGTCTTGATTGTGCTCCAAGCCCTTCAATTTTTACATATTGATAGCATTACATCAGTAGGGATATTTCCATTAAGAATGTACTTTTTTTTATTTTCTAATAAACATTTTTTAAGTCAGCCCTGAGGAAGAACGAAAAATATACAACTTCACCAAAATTGTTTCGAAAATATGTACGGATCGGGGGATTTCGACGTGAAACCCATCCCTCTTTCTGTTTCTTTCTGGATCCGCCTACATGATGAGTATACACGCAACGAGCTGCATGAAGGCTGACAGAATTTGAAAGAATTCTGAAAGCGTAACATAATGAACTTAATTTAGTGGTTAATTTTGTTATATGTACATGCAATTTGAGGTTTAATTGAATTGAGAAAATGCATTAAAACTGTTTTTCCGTCGTTAACTTGTTATTACAATACCAATTTGAAATTTCTAAAATCGATCTACTTATTGTTTCTTTCTTCCAAAGAACATTCGGGCCATCGGCAAACAGAACCGTTCTTCCGTTTTTAATAGACGACGGCATATCGTTTACTTATAACAGAAAGAGGATAGGACCTGAGATCGAACCTTGCGGGACCCCATATTCAATTGTGATGTGCGTGGAAGAACGGGTCTTTCCCACTCTTCGCTAAACAGCGCAGTTCCGCGTGGCCGCGAGGTGCAATGTAGCCACACTTCTCTGAGTTATAGCCATTCCTCTCCTTTCGGACATCTATGGCTGATCTGTATCATAAAATAAAACAAGGTCGGAAGACAATAGCTGTTCGGTGTGCTTTCGGCGTTGTTTACCGCAATTTTCAGTCAGTATTGTCGTTTAGCCCACTTTGCCGTTTCAGGGGTTACCTATTGCAGCGTATCTCTCGGGCGCTTGTACTTGGCCGTGGGATTCGGCTCGTATAAAGCTATAAGTTTTTTAAAATGTCATTATTCGACGCGTTTGATTTTGAGTAGGATTTTGAAGCTAATTTTTTAAAGTGGTCTTCGAGGAGCGGTATATTTAATTAATGCTAAATGAAGTTCAGATATTCTAATGTAACGCGGCGCGATCAGTATGCTATTTTACACATCTCGCTTAAATTTAATAAATATCTCATTTCTTTCTTTGTAATTTAAATTCCTGTTTTATTTCAACATTTTATTTTACGATCACGGCTTTGCTTTGCACAATCATTGCTTTAATTTTTATTTTCTACCTCTTGGCATTACATTCAAACATATATATGATTAATATTTTAACTTTAATGTCTAACTCGTATAATGAAGACTATTGTACAATTTATTTCTATATTTAATGAGAGTCTTTCGTTGACAGAATTTTCCTCTATTGTCATTAATTACAAAGGTAAGTTATAACCTACTTATTATGTTGCCCGAATCAAGTTGATGACATTTGTTTCAGAAATATTTATAGACACAAATTTTCAATTTCTCTCTGGTGGTGAGAGGTTGGTGGAGTGACACATGGATTTTACGAAGGCAAAGATTTTGAGGAAATGATCTGTTCAAATTTTATTTTAATTTTATTTTATTTACTGGCAACCACAGCGCACCATTGGGTGTAGAACATAGTGTGAATAACATTTTCGGAACATTTGGTATCATAATAATCATTACAAATATATTGTTGGTCATTCATCATATCTTAAAAGAAATGCCGTAAATGTGAATTTGTATAGGATAAATTATCATTCACTAATTTAAGAAGGAAACTAGAAAATAATTCGAGAAAGGGGCGTGGCTGACGTCAGACCTGTCGGTAGTTGGCTCTTGAATTGAGTGAAGCTGGCGTAGTTTCGATACGCCACGGTGCACATTAAACATATTTAATGATATTGAATACATTATATAATTCCACGAAGGAAGCGAGCGTTTCCTTTTGAAACTATTCTGACTTGTATTAGTAATGAAACGTTAAAAGTGAGCATAATGATCTTTCTTCTAATCGGTTTTAATCGACGCTAATCGACGCCACAGCAGAATCGAATTTTTCCCACCTGGCACAGATCGCCTAATTCGAAAAGATGGCGGATTCAGTAGAGACAGCTGTGTTGGAAGTTTCTTCAGAGTACAAAACGTCAGTCATGAAAAAACAAGACAGTAAAGAGACTGATATAATGTCAAATTGCAGTGCTTCCCTCGAAGGCTCAGTGGTATGTTAATTTATCCATTCATGTTGTGTGTAAAGTGCGTTTTATATTCCTCTGGACTCTTGCTATGAGAGTCACATCAATCAGTTATTTTAGATGCAATGTTTTAAATAAAATCATTTGTTTTTTGCACAGGTAGCCTCTCCGTCTATTGAAAGTTTTTCAACCTTACCTGATCAGGACATGTCAGAATTTGGGCTGGATTCCCGTGATCTGCAAGTGAAAGTTGATAACCCACAAAAACACCTTGAAACATTAGAGACATATATAACTTTCAGAATTACAACAAGGGTGGGTTCTTATTGGTATTTTTGAATTAAATATAATATGAATTTTCAAATAAATGTTCATTTTTTGAATATTTGCAGACGTCTAGAGCTGAATTTGATGAAACAGAATATGTTGTGCGCAGGCGATACAACGACTTCGTTTGGCTTCGACAGAAACTAGTAGATGCATTTCCTACTCACTTAATTCCAGTAAGTATATGAGTGATTATAACCAACATTGTTAATATGATGATTTCGTGAAGGAACAAATAATATGTATACTTTACAGCCTTTACCTGGAAAACACACTCTTCTGGCACAGTTGGATCGCTACTCAAAGGAGTTCATAATTGCTCGTATGGCCTTGCTACATCGATTCCTAAATCGAGTCGCCAATCATCCAGTGCTGAGTTGCAACCAAAGTGTAAAAGTGTTTTTAACTGCCAAGCCATCTGTGAGTATAAAAATTTTTCTTGTTGAATATGTACAGGATTATTTATTTAATGTTTTGAAGAGTTTCATTTTACTGAGCCATTAATATTTATGTGCCCATTTCAAGTAATGTAAATTGAGTATTAACAATTTTGAATATTTATTTTTAAAATGTTCCATTTGGCTTGATAAATGATAAATACGAGATTTACAAGTATCAGGTAATATCCAGCATTAAATTTGTAGTTCTGAATGTTCTGTTTGTAACATTGTATATAGTCACGTACTGCCATTGATTTGGAGTAATCCTCCTTTGACGTAGACGGTCATTGCCTTCTGTCTCTTTGGGCAGGGGCTCGGTACCATTAGATCTCTAGGGTTCCCAGGTGGTCACCCATTCAGGAACCCACATTATCTTCTCTTACTTAACCTCTGTGACTTCATGGGTAGTCATTAAGTGATTCAGCTAGCAACGCCGGCAGTTTTGGAAACTAGTGTGCAAATAACTAGGCCATACTGAAACCATATTGAAAATATTAGTGTCTAACCCTAACCCCATTTTTTTATTACTATAGTTACAAAACAGCCTCAGACTTTTATAAAATTAATAATAGCATCAGCAGTTGAGAAAAATTAAAATGAACTCTGTAACATGATAAAATAATACTGAAGAAATAAATATTTGATGTATGCTTTGACATCTATCTTGAGGAGCCAACAGCCTCAGCTTGTTAGAGGAAAGGGAGATGGACTGGACATTCTCATTATGAGTGCTGCTATTGTAGTTATCAGCTTTCATCAGTGGAATCAGAAGGGAGTGGAGGTGCTGCATCTTTAGGCCAGATCTTGATTTCATTGGGACCCCCCCCCCCTTTTTTTTTTCTTTTTTTTTTTTTCATTCAATAAATGTAAAAATATGTTTTTCCTTTAATTCAGATTAACTTCTATAAGTTTTTTCAGCAGCAGAAAGATAATTTTGTTCATGTACAGGGGAGGGAATTTGGTGTGAAATGGGTATCTAGTGCCCCTGGCCTCTTTGTTTCCTCTGGGCAGCCCGACTTCCAAGGCAGTTTAGGGGTTTCAAGCACAATTCTCCTGTTACTAATTATTTTTCAACATTGGTTGACACATCCTCCATGTGTTTCTGCTTTCTCTTTATTCTTGGTCTTCCAATAATTGTCCTTAGGTTAAACAAAATAGAAAAATAAGATAGTTCAAGGGAATCTATTTTTATTTTTTCTGTGCTATATCCATTTAACTCGTATATCTATATTTGTATTATTCATAACTTTCAAGTTTCTATTGAAAGTCCTTTGAAGTTATTGAAGTAAAACAGCTAAAATTATTTGTACGATCATTTTTATAATCTTTGGCTATTTTTGTAAATTCTTCTCTCTCAGATCCTATTCTTTGCTTCCTAGGTCAGCTTTCACTTAGGGTACATTATACCCCTAATTTAGTGTGTCCTACCATGATTCTTTCAGTTGTTGTTTTTTATTTCCCTTTGTTGTCCTGTATATTATTATTTACGTAGTTTTTAGTGCCTATGTTATCCAATTATATTTTTTCCTCATTTTTTTTTTTAAGATTTATTTCCTTCCCCTTTTCTTCCACATTTGCAATACCTGGGATCTTGAATAGGCCATTCACTTTTCTTAATAGTGGAAATTCTGGTTAACTTTAGATAAAGACCAGATTTTAAATAAAAAAAAAAAAATCTTCAAAGTAGGAAAGCATGTTCTGAGTATGTACACGAGATAATTATAAGGAAGAATAGATAAGCATTAGCTTTTTCATTCATGGAGTTGCACTGAATCTTATTCAGTGTATAAACGTGGTGTAAAATCGTATTCTATCTCTTTAATTGGAAGCATTGTCAAGTTTTTTGAATGTGAATTTTCAATGTCACCAATGAAATAAGTTATGTTGATGAATCCCTATCCTGCTCTTGTAATACATAGCACATGGATTAAATTTCTTGTAATATATGTGAGTTGGTGGCTGGGGAATGACAAAAATCAATTGTGAATCCCTTTCTGACTTCATACATAAGTACATTATCCAAAAGCAGAATTCAAAACCTGTAATTATGAAGATACAAAGTATTTACCCTAGGTGATATCACTTTTTGTGGAATTTGAACTTGAAACCTTTGTACAGAGCTCTTGCTCCAGCAGTATTCTGTGGTAAGTAGATTTTGATATTAGCAAGCGAGAATATTACCATTATGCAATGTTCGAGCATTGTTTATATGTGATTAACACTTTCAAGTTTGCGCTTTTGAAACGAGTCTGAACGCCATTTAATTTAGGGGTCATCTATAAATCAAATAATGCTAAAGAGGGAGGAAGGGGTTTAAGGCAGTGTTTAGTTGTGTTACTTAGGGGAAGGGGGGTAGTTTAATATTGGTTGTATTTTTCAAAATTTGCTGAAATAATTCCTTTTATTCAGTCATAATAAAACATTAAAATATTAACTAATTGTTTTCAAAAAATAAATAAATAAAAAAATATATAGAGATACTTGCAATAAATAGAAATATTTTTTCATCAATGGTATATTGATTGACTCTGTTAGATTATGAAGGAAATATTCAAATCTATAGTATCAGTACATTCTAGACTCCGAATCAATTGGAACTGTAGACTGGCCTGCAACAGCCTCTGCTTGACTTCTTAGAAATTTCCTCACCTTGCATCCTTCCTTCGTTGAAAATTTGTCCCCATCTTATTGTTAGGTTCAGTGTGTATCGCCAACTAATTCTGACTTAAATTATCATAAATTTTAATATGTAATACAAAATTAATACAACTTGTTATTATTGCTTTCTAATTTGTTTTTACATATTGTGTATAGGATGGTCGCTTCTATCATTACGTAATTGTATAGGGGTTTCAAGCACATGTTACAGATACTTTACAGGGAGGAGAGGGAGGTATTCAAAATTCTCCAAATTTGCCATTTTATTCACGGACAACTCCATGTTTGCATAAGAGTTATGAATTGTGTGAAACGTCAATTCTTTAGTGTATTAATGGTCTGTTTATTATCATTTTTGGAATTTGTTATACCGTTTTATTTTTATTTTTTAAAACAAGTTTTTGCGTTAATTTAAATTCAACTTTTTCTTATTGTCAGATTACATTCAATTTCTTCTAAATATTCTTCTTAAATTTCTTGTTTTTTAGGAATTTGCTATTCATCGTAAAAGCCGTCAAGGATTACTTGGAAGAATGTCCAGTTCTTTTCACAACTTAGCTGCTGTGTACATGATGCGACAAAGGCCTGCTGAATTTGATCAAGTGCGAGATTATGTTGCAACATTAGGAGATAAATTGCTGAGTGTGGAGAAAGTGAGCCAAAGAATTCAGAAAGAGAGACAAGGTAAATGAGCATTCATTGCACTATTGTTTTCTTGTTTTACTTAAGATAGTGTGTTGTAAGTTTTTTATTCTTTACATTTACAGATTATTTGTATGAACTTCATCAAATGCATCCAATATATACCTTGTGGTCTGCATCTGAACCAGAATTAAGCCCAGCTTTGCTAGCTATGGCTTCTGCTGTGGAACGAAATGCCCAGTCCCAGCAGCATGTGTTAGTTACATTCACAACCACCATTGCACAGGTTTGTAGTTAGTAATTTTTGTGTTCTTAATTTTGAATCATTTACAAAGGTGATTGGAAGACACACAATTTTAAACTATCGCAGTAAATCCTAAATTTTAGTGAAATTATGAATAATAAATTGTAGTAAATTTAACTTTGAGAAACAAATTAATGAAGTAGTATTAAGTTATTAACTAACAAGAATAAAAAAAAAATAATTTTAAATAAAAAGACATTTACATGTATTATTTAATTTGCATTGTGTCATACAAGGTGAAATTTGTAGAGACTGAAATCATACTGCTCAGTGAAGTGTTAATTAACTAATGACATAAAAAGTTAAATTGACTAGTGACGTACTTGCTGGAAACTTTTCCAAACTGTAGAGATCACACTTTTAAGCATTGTACATAATTATAAATGAATTTGAAAGGTGAATCCTATGTTATTTATAAGATAGCTTAAACGTGAAATTGGATGATACTTATATACCTATAATACCTGCAATTCTTTTATTTCTTTGCAAGTTGGGTTTGTTTGTTGTTGGGGCTGAAGTAGAGATCACAGTGCAGTGTAGAGAAATCATTTAAACCAGCCCGTTCATGCCAGTGAAGCGAGGATGAAATCCATGGTAGAGGGGTAGTTACGGGGTGTTGAGGGGAATCTTTCAGGGACAGGGGTGGTGAGCAATAGGATTCTTAATTATAATGAATGAAATGTGTAAGATTTTGCTGGCAAGGATACCACATGCACACACGGCAGCCTCACTGGCAAAACCGCCCAGATCTTCAGCACATGTGATCTGAATAAAGTAAAAAAAAGAAATTAATAAAATAATTCTAATGTTTCATTATTATTTACTTTGAGTTAGTCATTTCACTTCCTAGTACCTTGTCAGAGCACTCTTACTTGTCTGGCTGGAGTGAAAGTTGCATAGCAGTAATTTTGCAGTGTTATTTTAATTTATGCTGGACAAATTAGTTATCAAAGTAATTGGCAAAGTTTGTGACGGGGGGCAGTTGGGAAAAGAGGGAGGGGCATCACCAACTTATATGAAGTGTGAAGATATCATATATCACATAAAGTATTTTTCATTAATTTCAGAGCAGTTTTTGTAATGTTTGAGGAAGGGCAGGAGACACCCATTCTCCACTTCCTCTCCATTCTCTCTCTCTTCCCCTCCCCCTCAGACACTTATTTATTTATTTATTTATATAAACACACACACACACATATTGGTCAGAAGGGTCAGGTCTTACCCTTGGCACACATCATCTATTATCTAGTTTGTGAGTTAATTTATTGTATTTTCTATAGCCATTGAAGGAGTACCTCCTATACATTGATGCTGTGAAAGAAGCATTGGCTCGACGGGACTCAGTGCAAATAGAATATGAGCTGACTGTTGATGATCTAAAGAAGAAAAGAATTGAGAAAGAACAGGTAAAGTCATAGTGCATGAATGCTGAATAAAGGTATTTTCTTAATGTTGTGTTGTCGGTAATGTTTTTATTTGGGTTATATTTGCAGCTAATGGCAAATGAACAGCAGTCTGTGGGTGCCAGTGGAGGTGGTTTTAGCCTTGGTGGCACTTCGTTGTGGAAAAGTGCTGGTGAAATGCGGGAGGATAAACTGCAGAAGCTGGCCCAGTCAATCCCTCAGCTTGTGAAACAAGTGGAGGTAAATTAACTTCTTTTTTAACAATTCAGAAAAATGTTATTTGACGGGAAGATTTAAAGTGCTTGGGGAACATTATCTTGGTGAAAACTGTACTTCATAGTAATTTGTCTTCAAGAATTTGAAAACTTTAATACATGTGATTTGAGGGTAAACTCTTACATCGCAGACTGAAACTTTTCACACTAGGTTTGACATGGGTTTAACATTTTTGGAAAGTTTGCAATTTTTGGCTTTACTTTTTTGTGTGTGTATCAAAAAATGATGTAAACACCTCATATATTTTAAATTTTCTTTATGCTTGCCTAGTTTGGTTTTCTTTAATTAGAATGTATTTCTAAATTTTTTTTAACATTCTTTATATTATTGTAAATTCTATTTCCAGGAAAACCAAGATAAAGTTGAATGTGCCAATGAGAATCTCCGAGCTGACTTAGAACGTTGGCATTCAGAAAAGAAGAATGATATTAAAAAATTATTTCTGGCATTAGCTAATCAACAAATTAAATACTATGAGCAGGTAATTTGTATATATATGTTGTTGGTGTTCTTTTTTTTTTTCTGGAAGACTTCTCTAAAAGATTTTATTGTAAAATATTCAGAGAAATTAACTAACCAGTGTGTATACATTAGAACCCCTCTTTTACACTTTTCAAGGGAGCAAGAAAAAAATGGTGTAAATGGAGGGAAAACCCTTTTGCACATGTAATATAATACAAAAAATTTAGAATCTACTTTTATTAAATATTTTTGATTTTGAAATACAAGAATTCTAGTATTTTTACTTTCTTGCACTTCGTGAGAAGGGAAAGTTAGGTAATCGTGCTCCCAAAATGGTGAATTTTTGGCAGAAAAACTTACGGTTAGGCCCTGGTAATGATAAAGTGGATTCATCCTGTTGCTATTTACTGTAAATTACTTCTCTACAAATGTTAAATTTTAAATTACTCAAAGACAGCCTTTTTGATGTGTATTTTAAATTATTGGAAGGTCCATTGATTTTTTAAGTCAGAGAGTATAACAAATTTAATTAAACTATTTTTATTCACCAACGTTTCCAAAGTCTTTGGCCTTTAAGTTTTAAAGTACTCAAAGACTGCCTTTCTTGATATGTTTAGTAAATTACTTCCTCTAACACATGAGGTAGCCAGAATCCATATTTTGTGGGTTCTTCCAACTGAAAAATTTATTGATGGCAAAATGTCTGGCTGTCCATCTGTGGTCTAGAACCTAAATCATTCATCCATTTTTCTCCAAAATTGATACTCTGTTATCGATCTGAATGAACTCGTGGCATTGAGATTTTCAAACTGATATTTTGATTTTTGAGGTTACTTTACATGTAGCCTTAAACATTTTCAACATTTTCTCAAAAAGGCACCAATTTTTATGATTATACTTTATCCTTGTGTAGTGTAAAGGACACTGAGTGGTGCTGATCTCCTTTTTGTTGAAATTCCAGATTTTTCGTAATCTCGTAAAAAGTACAATTTTTTGGGGGGCATCTTCACAACTTCACTACAATATTGAAGATAAAGATATTTTTCCTTAATGAAATCTGTTCCTTAAAGATGGATCATGAAATAAGGTCATGTATAATTTGTTTTAGAAATATGAGTGGTTTTTGCATAATTTTGTGTGAAATATAGGTTGTTTGTTGTTGTTTTTTACTACAACGCCACCAAATTTTTTCTTTAAATTTTCTCATTGTTTGTATCAACGTATTGTCATCATTGTATGTAACTCTCTGTTTTCAAAACTTTCATAATTACAGAATTGCGGATAGATGTTTTTGCCTTAGACAAAGTCTCTCTTTAAAAAGATCAAGTACAGTTTATTGAAAAAACAAGTGGTTTTTTTGCTTAATTTGGGTTTGAAATTATCGCAATTTGGCAAGAAAATGTTTTTTAAAAAAACTACAAATTTTTGTACTTTACTACAGTAAACAAACAAAATATACCAGAATTCGTGGTCTACGTCATAAATCTCGTGAGAAAGGGAAAAAAATAACAACAAAACAATAGTGTAAACAGATTCGTGATGCCTTTAAGAAGTGCAATATGAAGGAAAATCTTAATCTTGCAAGTGTAAAATGTGTAAGGGATAATTTAATAATATGAACAAAGGAAAATTGAAGGGCCCAGGGAAACTCTGTGTAAACTGCGGAAAAACAGAAATTCTGGGAATATAAAATGGGTTGTAATGAGCATTAATATAATTTACAATTGTAATTGTTTTCAACCTGTTAGAATTTCCAATTAAATTTCATTTTTGTGCATTTTGCAGTGCCTTGCTGCTTGGGAGGAAGTACTACCTGATATTAAGGGAGGAGACATCTCTTCGACACAGGGCAAACCTGTCCATGTTACAAGCTAGCTAGTTTTCATATAATTACCTAACAGCCCATTAAGAAGTGAAACAATTCTCTTGGGGCCAAAAATTCTAGAGAATCCTCTCACCTATTCTTTCAATCCTACCTTTCTCAGTGTAGATTCATTATTCATACAATTAAAGCATTGGATCCGGTCCTTTCTCATGTCATTTAAGAAACACATATCTTCTCGGTCATATAAACATTGTTTTTGTGCACTGTCTTCAGAATTCCTTTTTTCTCTCCTATTGTTAAAATATCATTCATACCGAATATTTAGAAACCACAGAAAACCAATCAAATGAATCAAGGACCATTAGTTTCTGTGTATCGAATGTTCACTTCTTAACATGATGCTGTTGCTGACAGTATTTAATCCAAATATAGGAAAACTCTCTATTTAGTAGAGTGTCTAAGTGCAATTCCTAGCTTGAAGCATACTTAATTTTAATATAATATTCCATGTTGCTGTATTTTCCTCATACAGAATTTTGTTGCATTTATTGTAGAATTAGAAAATAGTTGGTGTATTTACCAATAATATAAGTAAAAATAGGCATGTGTATTTTCAATATTTATTTTATTTTTGTGCAGCTTTTCTTCAATTTCTTTCCTCTTAAATATTAAATCTTTAATGCAAGATTTGTAGTAGGGCTAGTTTTTATTGTTAGAAAGAATGCTTACTCAGTGAAGTGCACATTCCAAATGCATTAAATGTGGTTTTTGAATTTACTGTATTTTCTTAGTGCCTGTTGTTAATGGAAATGAATTTCATGTATTCCATATGTTCCTACATTTTTCTAGCATTTTACTGATAGCTCTCATTTAAATTTACTATAATCCAAATGTGTATGTGGTTTCATAAATTACTTTCAATTTATGGTAACTAATAATAATGAACTTATAACATATAACACATCATTTCTTGTTGCAGAGTAAGTAATATATTGCAATAAAATATGTATAATAGGGCATTAAAATGTGTGTTACCAAATATAAATAGAATTTGTTGATCTGAGAATTTGAGAGATAGATTTGTGGGACAAAGGCCCTGGAAAAGTTGGCTGTGTGCAAATTGATCTGGTGCTGGGGCAGTGCAGCTTAATGTGGTATTGTTTCAGTAATTGCAAAATCATGTGTCACATAGTTATCTGTTAATGTAGTAATGAAAATGTGTAGTGTGCTTTCAACACTTCAGTAAAATAGATATTTGAATGCTCTCAGATATTTTTTAAAAATAATCTGATTTTCCTGCAGGAATAAAGGTATATATAAAAAACTAATGATATTGCTTGATGCTGATGAAAAAGTTGGTGTTGTACTCTTAGATAATTGGCAGAACTAGTACTAAATGTACGATATTACAAACTGCTAGCTCATTTCATTTTTCCTCCTTTTGCATGTAAATAATGGGAATTTTCTCAACCAATTTCGGATATATTTGTTGTAGTACTCATAAATTTTATTTCATTAATTTTTTTCCTTTGCAAGAAAAAACCTCTGAACACATTGAAACTTTATTTTTTAGATATTTGTATAATATGTAATGATCTAAGTGTAATTAGAATATAAAACCTATTTTGATAAAGGGTTTGAAGAGTAGAGAGAAATTCATGGATTAAGGGTTGTGAGAAAGTTTCTATCAGATGAGTACATTATATTTATTTTCATTCTTTTTAAGTTTTTGAGCAGCTTGTGAAAGGCAGATTTGAAATGAGGTAGGTTGAATAGATGCACTTTCAGTGAAATAAGCATTATAATTTAATATATTGTTGATGACTTCAAACTTTGCTTTAGTGGCAATAATGTATTTATAATTATAGATCTTGCAGATGCACTGTGCTCAACATATGTAATCTTCAAATTTTGAAAATCTTTTCTGTATTTAACAGTTTTTACATATCCATAAAACCCAGAATTAGCATTTAGTGCATCTCCACTATCATAAACGTTATTTGTTGTCTATTAATGGCACTTTTGTGCAGGACAAAATCATGGTACCTAAGCTTGTTACTTGTAATGAATATTGTTTTCTAGTCTTATAGTAATTTATATTATGTGCATTTATAAAACATAAGACAAAATGTAATTGTGTTCTATGTATCTGTACCTTTTTGAATAAAATCCATTGGTCCAATAAATGTGAAATATATATACCATTCTTCTGCACTATTTATAAAAAGGTCATTACATAATGGTAATGATGGTGTGATCATTACTGGTGTTACTGATACATAACATTAATATTAAATGGACAAAACTTTATCTTCTCTCTCTCACATTCATATTGCCATCCGACAACGAAATTTTTGGGGAATAATTTCTCAAATATAGTGGCATGGAATGGCAACGCTGCATACAATGGTAATAGAAAATTATCATAATAAAAGTGTAATCAAAATTATCGTACTCAATTTTTCTTTTATATTGCATTTAAATCATATTTTTACAAGAGAAATTTAACTGGACTAATTTCAATTAAGATTTGCAGATTTGTTGTTAAAAAATACATCAATACTTTGGAAATACAAATTGTAGAAAGGAGAAACAATCAAATAAAGTTTGAGATTTTCATTGGTAAATTATAATTAAAATAACATCAATTATTTTTTATGTTTCTTTGATCCATTCCTATTCTCCAATAATTTTCCTCATGGCCCAGATTGCAGAGGCACCTGTAGAATTTTATTAATTTCGAGCAGAAATTGTGCAAAAACTTGTTTGTTGTTTTTCAAAAAAATTGTACATGACCTTTGTTATAGAACTGATTATTAGAGCATTTCATTTAACAAAAAACTTTCAATTTTCAGTATTGTACTTTTGCAAGCTGATTTGTTTTGTTGTTTGCAATTTTCTGAAATAGATTTCGCAAAAAATGGGACTACTAGCTTTACTATTCTTAGCTACATAGGAAAAATGTGGTGTATATACGTGGAGAATCATGAGGGTAGGCCAATAAAGTGGTGTTTTTTTAATAGTGCTGAAGTTTCGGCCATTCATTTGGCCTATTTAAAGGATTCAGACTACACGTGTCAGAGGAAGAAGGTGCTACACATAGTAATAAGATTTTTTGTATACTAGCATTATAAACGACTTTTTCTGTTGAAAGAAATCGTTCAATATCGGGCATTTTTCGGCACAAATGATGACGTTCAGATGCATGATGCGTCATCACACATTTAGCCAATCGCAGTGAAAGAATCGTAGGGAGGTAGAGGTAAACGGAACAGCTGACCACATCTTGACAGATGTCAAATACCCAAGACGTCACAAGAAAGTTGTTTCGCATACTTAAATTTGATTCTCTTGTACAATTATAATGCTGTTATACAAAAAAATGGCGTATGCAACTCGTTTATAATGTTGCTTTATTGCATTCGTAAATATTTGAAAACTCGCTCCTAACGTCGCACGTTTTCAAAACATGTACTCATGCAATAAAGCTGAACATTATAAACTAATTGCATAAACTACTATTTTTGTATAACAGCATTATACATTTATTAGAGAATCAAACTTAATTTTGCGAAACAACTTCCCTGTGACGACTCGGGTATTTGACATCGTGCGAGTAAACGGTGGTCGGCTGTTCCGTTTAGCTCTACCTCCCCCCGATTCTCTCACTACGATTGGCTGAAAGTGTGATGACGCAATCATTCTTGACATAAAAACTAATACGTCATCATTTGTGCCGTAAAATGCCCGATTATGAACGATTTCAGGCAACAGAACGACGAGGCAACAGAAAAGGTTCTTTTATTATGCAGGAATACAAAAAACTACTATTTCACTATTCAAACAGCACGTACAAAAAGAGCTGAAGCTCTCATGAGTGCAAAAGGAAATAGTATAAACCCTACTCAAAATTCTGGGGAAAAATATTTTGTTAACATTGATCATATTTTGAAGGAAAAAAAATGTAGCCCAAATATTACATTAAATATTGTTCGCTGTAGCTGATATTGCCTACTTATCTAACGAATATGAAACGAGAGAAAAACTATTAGTTAAATGTTATTTAGAATAGTTTATCATATTTGCCAAACAGCCAAAATTTAGCATTTTCACCTCCGGTAACAAGGGCTCTACAAGTGTTCAAAATGACCTCATCTTGGGTGAACGCACAGTCGTAATCTCTCCGCATGAATTGTTCTCCAGACGAGGGGCCTCTATGACGTTCACAACTTTACCGGTTTGTACCTTTATTTCTGCCGCCGTGCTTTCAATGCGCCGAAGAAGACCATCACGATGCTCGATTTCGATTACATAAACGCGGTCTTTCATTGACTCCTAGCTCCAAAAGCGTTGGGGGTATCTGCGTTATAAAATTCAGGCTAAACGCCTTTTAAAGGTTCGGGTAAGAAATAAGGACCGATGATAAATTCATCCACAATGTCAACCGACACATTTAAAGAAAATCGCTCTTGATGAGCTACATCAATTGCCTCATGCGGATTTTCTTAGGTCCTCACGAGCAAGTTATACACATTAATCATGCCAGTTCTTGTAAAACACGCTTTATTTGGCCGAATAACTAAATTCCTGGTTTTCTTTGAATTTGCGCAGGAAATGCCTAGAGAATTGAAAACGACTTTATAAGTCTCTACTGCGCAAATTCTAAACCCGCTGAAAATGGAAAAGTAATCTCTCCACATGAATTGTTCGCCTCACGAGGGATACGTTGACCTCGTGCGCTATCTGATTGTGCTCGCTTCCGGGGCTTCTCGGAACGTATATTAGCAATTGAGTTTTCTAGAGAAGGGGCGGGCCCTAACGCGAGGTGAATCCGCTTGTTCACTTGCCGCAGCCCATGTTTCACGAGCACAAAGGCATAGTTCAAAGTTTACCATTAATTATTTCCAAAACTAAACGACGAAGAGTATCCAATTGTGGTAAATTCAGTCTATATATTACATATGGGATAAGGTCCCGGTGTATTAGTAAGGAAGACTAAATCACTCTGTATAAATACTGTCATTGGAATTGAAATTTGGGCAGAGTTGGGTTGGCTTGGCCACTGTGATATTCAAACAGTGGCAGAGTACAGCCGTGGAAGAATATACACAATGGCGTCGGAGGCCGCTCAGGCTGGAGGTTGCATCTCTATCGAATGACAGAAATATAATTTCAAAAGTTCAAAATACGTATATATGAATGGGTGAAAATCAGAACGGTATTAGTGACTTTTTATAAATTCTGAGAAATATGTTTAAGACAATATTACCGTGAAGTCGTTATGCTTTGTTTCATCAGAAAAAACGGCATTCCAAATGTCCATTGAAATCACGAAAATACATTTCCACTAAAATATAGCCTAGAATAAACATGTTTTCTCAGAATTTATAAAATGTCACTCATACTGTTTTGGTTTTCACCCATTCATGTAATAAAAATGTAAGCAATACAAGTAAATTAATTAAAACTAAGTTAAATAAAAGTCTGTTGTGTAATAGACCACACAAGCGCAATTATTCGTGTAATGCGCCGCTGTGAGTCTCACTATCATAGAGGGGGTTGCCATCACGCTTAAGGTGCGATGGTCGTTTCCAGACACTAGGATGCATGCACTGAATTTATTTAGGAGGGCGCCAAGCGCATGCCTTACCTGTGATCTGGGCACCGACGTTGAGACATCATCGTCACTGGGTCGAAATATATGCATTGGTATTGCATTTGCTTACTGTTTATAAATAATACACTTGTTGGTATGATCACCCGACCAAAATGACGGGGACGCGTTTATTTCAATAGAAAATTGTCTATTTTACATTACTGTTCCTTCTAGTGCTTTAGTCTGATTATTGACTAAAATGGGTGTGAACACTTACAGAAAATGGTGATGACTGAAATTCTGCTACTTCACTCGGAAAGGATTACTTGTCCAAATATCGGCCGGCGGCAGCAGATGGCCTGTTGAAGTACCATGGAAGCCTCCTGTAGTCGGCAGGAACACGCCTGGCTGAGCTGGAGATCGTCCGCGGAATTGGCAGCCGAATATTAATGCTGCACACCCTCTCGTGTAATTTATGGGTGTTACTCCTACTGTCCTAGCCCGGTATCCGGAATAAATTCCGATGCTAGAATGATGGCTGGTAGGACCTGGAGACTAGCGATCGTTTTCGTGTGGCTGTAGTCGCCGTTGAACAGAAGAACCTCTCTTAATAGTCGACCGCTCGTCCAACAGTCTTTCTCCAAATCCTCAATTTTCTAGCGTCGTCTCGGCTCACCCGATTCCCGTCCCCACACTCTCTGCAAATATGTCCGTCCTATCACGTGCTTAGGCGCGAAGCGTTCCATAGGCTAGTATTCTACGGAGCTTCGAGATTTATTGTCACGTAGGCATTTCTGGGGGCTACTGGCTCGCCTCACAATGTGACAGTTCCGCTAGTCAGTCAGCTACAGTCACACACAAGATGGAAGGGTGCGTTTCGGGGGCGGACGCTCTCTGGGGAATACTGGGTTAGCGGCGCACAACGCAGCTGCGCGTGTCGAATTGTGGTCAACGCGCTCTTCGCCTCGAAATATGTTGATATACCTAATTTTAGGGGCCGTGTGCCAGCGCACATGGTTTTCTGGCTTTGACTTCCACTAAGGAGCTTAAGTTAGATTTTAGCACATTGCAACAAGCACTATTGCTTCGGACCGTTTTCACACAAATAAACATTTTTATTTCGAAAATTTCACTACCTTGGTAATATATCGCCAATGAAACTTCGACACATTCATCATTCACAAGAAAGCTCTTCATACTGCTGGCCGGTCCAACTGCAGGCGCGCTGGCTCCGCGGACACTAAGGAGCTTTCCTATTCGCGAACCGGACCGCAAAGAATTCATCAAATATACGCATATACAAATATATTAATTTCTATATTAGTTTCATTCAAGCTAAATGGTTCAAACCATCGAGAGAAGCGGCACAATTCCTAATTGGCCACGGATTTTCCCCCGTATATCTGCTTAGAAGAGGTCCAACACGTGTCTTACATTCCCACTTGTCGTTGTAGAATGTCTGACACAGTGTCGGCGCTAGGCATGGGCAGACCGGGCGATTGCTCAGGACCCTATGGATCATGAAGTAAATGGTCATGTCAAGGGGCTCAATGATGGGACTAACGAAAGAAAAAGAAAAAAAAAAAGAAAAAAAAAAAGAAAAAAAAAAGAAAAAAAAAGAAATTAGAACTCGAGAAAATCGATATCATTTTATGTCACAATACAGTGGTCTAGTATTTCATACACAATTTTCAATTATTTTTTAAAATTGAAAGTTATAATCGTTGACTCTATGAAATGAATCAAATGATGCTAACATTAAAATAGGCTCTACTTAAATTTATTTTGATTATTTCATTTAAAAGTGATTTTATTAAACACTAACTAAACACAAAACATTTTTTTAATGTTTTAAGCCCACCGTAGAAATCATTTGATCACTTTTTCTTAAAACTATTATTTAAAATGTATTTCCAAAATCTTTTTCTAGCTTAAACGTTGTAATTTTTGTTATTTGTTGATATAAAATAACTCATAGAGTTTCTTGATACAGCTTTCACATTTTGAATGGGGGGGGGGGGGGGCATTTTAAAAGCCCCTTGCCCAAAATTGTCTAGCTCCGGCACTGGCCAGACAAAATAGTTGCTCATTTGTTAAATGAATGTTCACTACATGCACTGCAGTCCATCCCTTGTCATTCTGACCGGTATAGGTGGCTCAGGGCATCAATTAATGTCATTGCAGTGCCTCTGACTGGGAGATTCTAGGGTTCGAGTCTCGGCGCTGGCTGGAGCTAGACAGATCGAATTCAGCCACTGTCTGAAGAATTCTAGAGGTCGAGTGCCCTGATCGGTAGCTTCCCGTGGTTTCTCCAATCAACACCAGGCGAAGGCCGGAGCAGTACCCTAACACCAGGGTCACGGACCGCACGCGATCTTTCCTTCTTGTCCTATCCTTACACGCACACATTGATCCAGTTTCCCTGATCCCCCATATACAGTGTTTTGCGTCTGGACAAAAATGTATCTTCAATACGTACACGTTTGCTTGAGATCTCCTATTGCTTGTAGTGGTATAAATAGAGCCGGGAGTGTGTCTCTATTTTGTTCGCAATACAAAATATCAAATCTTCAGATTGCACCGACGCAAATAAGTTTTCTATTTCTCAAGAGAGAAAATATCTATTTTTTCAAACGTTGCGAATCTTGTTTTTCCATTTTTAATTATATTTGTTTGTTTATTTAATTTTTACAAAAATGTTTTGATCTTTAAACTATTTTTAATTAAAATGTGGCGAAGGGATTCTGGATCTTAAGGAAACGTGTGCAGATGATATTTGTATCCCATACGTCACATACAATTTTTACAATTCTTTGGCTAAATAAATAAATAAAATACGTTTAATTTCGCGGGTAAAAATTACACGAGAGCATTTAATAAAACAAGAAATGGGGCTCGCAGCTGATCTCATAGCTAATTGCTGTCATCACTCTCGGCTTATTGCACATTAAAGCATTTCGAATGACACATTTCAAGCGTGTGGACGCAGCCTCTTTTCTAATTTCTCGTCGCACATTTCTTGCAACACTTCTCTCGGTGTATTCTGTTGTCGTCCTATTACCCGTAACCAAGATTAATAAATATTTCTCACGCCGTGCCTGCAACTATACTGTTCATGCCCGTAAATCGTATGAAAGAATCACTTGACCGCAAATCACCTTCCCGAGGCCTCTTGACTGTTTTTATCTTTATCGTATCTTAAGTGTCAAGATCTTAATAAAATATCAGTGATTTTCATGACATGCAATGTTTTCACGATCCAAAGTATTGACTATCGTTCATATAGATAAAATTGTATGACGTTTGCGCACTTCCTGACATGGTACATGGGCCATGTTCTTCACGTTTTCTTGAGTCCTGGAATAGTCCCCACTCCTTCGCCAACGTTAGTTGAATTAAGTATAAATGATAGCAACGAGCGCTGTAATAAAAAAATCGGATAGCCAGAAATATTCGCTCCCGTGCAATAGAAATTATTTTGCATCAAAAAACGAACAACAATTTTAATATAAAAACCCTTTTGTCAAAATAACCTAACTCCCCTCTCCTGTCGGAACTAGCGAAGCGATGGCTCAAGAAACTTGCGCGGAATCTCTTTATAAAGAATGACCGTAGTTTCACCCATAGACACTTAGTACATAAATTTGTCTAAGCATTCGCCACGGTGGAATCCTAAAAAGTGACAGGGTAGTGACAATTATATGTAATCTTACATCTCTCCCGCCTCAATTCCCAAGAATGGGCCTCTGTCTACAATCTGTCAAATTCACGATATAATTCTTTTACACCGTGGTCAGCGCGAAGTCAGTAAGAATTTTGGAGGGATGGGAGAGGTATGTACGAATAACGTTGCCAGCTAGTTGGACTCACTTGCCTTCAGCGACATCACGCGGTGTATGAAGGAACCTATACACTTTTTTCGGCGAAGCGTACGAGTGTACACGCACAACAAAAACTTGATCTACTCTTTAGTGTCAGTAAGAAATGTAAATGGCGTTGATTTGACATATGAGGTTGATTGCCATTGTCCAGAATTAGTAATATACTATCTCATTACCATTTACAGAAAAATGTCTTGCAAGGTTCTCACATTGCCCGCGTGATGTCGCTGAAGCAATGTGAGCCCAATTAGCTTCCGATTCTTTTCATACATACCCCTACCACCGGTATAATTCTTCTTTTACAGGCTTCGTGGTGGTCAGGTTTGACTTTGAGAACGAACGACTCTGTGAACCAGTGAACCGCAGTGAGTGAACCACAGAGGTCTGGCCGGGAGATTCCTGGGGAGATCGGTCGATTTCTGTTAGAGGGGATGATAAAGCGGGTTGAGCAGGGAATATGGGAATCTTTAAGCGAATAATTACCCCTGATAATTCTCCAAAATGTGGTTAGTTACCACATGCAAAATAATATTTGACTGACATTTATTCTGAGTGCCATAAATGAATTAAGAGGTGGGCGTGATTCCAGTGACCCTATAATTTGACAGTTGTAAAGAGGGGAGAAATTGGAACCAAATTCAAGTTTAAATATAGATGTTGTTGGTACGTGCATCACGTAGATTGTAAAGAAACACCTTCCTCATTCCCACGTCACGCATGCTAATTCACTAGTGTAAGTATATTTTCATTAATAAGCAGCTGATATTGAATTATATTTAGAGTGTGTATGTCAGTTTTCATATTGTTAGTAATTGTATGACATTTACTTTTCAGGTTGGTGCTGTGATAAAAAATGTGTTTAAATATTTTTATGTCTGCTAGCTTATTTTGTATGGAATATGTAAGCAGAAATATATCATGTTATAGAAACTTGCACTAGTATTTATTGTTCACACTTAAGCAAAATGATTTCCAACGTGACAAGTCTGGAATTCAGCCCTACAGCAGCATCATGGAACCACACAATAGATCTCAACAATATGAGAATGGATAGCAACTTCTTCTGGCATCTTTGTTCTCTTGTGTCAGCTATGGCATGGGTTATTTACATCACGTATTACAACTCACGAGTAATGGGTTATTTTGTTACAAGACTTCTTAATCGTTTTGTCACTGATGGATATTTACGTGTTGGTAAGTAAGAATAGTTATCTTAATGTAAAATAGAAAACTTGTTTTTTCTAACATATTCTTCTTACATGTACTTAAAAATTTATATGTAGGTGTAAATTCACTTTAAGGTATTGTAGCCATGCATACTTTATGCCTAGAATAATTGTATTAAATTTTTTGGTAAAGTCATTTGTTCTCCTTAAATAGTACTTAAATTAAAAATGAAGATTTTTCTTTTTTCAGGTTCACTAACATGTAATGTATTGTCAGGGAAGATAATGTTTCGTGACATTGTTTATATCACTAATGATTATAGTGTGCGAGTACAAGATGGTTGGCTGATTTTTCGGTGGTGGAGATCCTATGTTCCTAAAGATGTTACTGAAGGTAAAGGCTTCTCTATTACAAACATTTTACAGTTAAAGGTGAATAAGTGGTTATTTAGAGTAGCTTATATGTATATGGAAACCTAGCTTTCTACTTTGGTTATCTAATGTCATAAGATGTTCTGTATATTACATATTGTTACAGATTTGTCCCATTCAGACACAAGATTATCCTTGCTTCTTAATGGTTTTGAATTACATATTTATAATCGATGTGCTGTGTATGGTGAACTTGAACGTTTATTTGGTTTAGACCCCCAACTTTTTCCAAAGGATGAAGATGATAATAGTTCAGATCAAAGAAGAGGTATACAGTTCTTGATTTTTTTTCAATACAGGGGGATTTGGATGTGCAAGGTTTTATTTTCTTTCTGCAGTGTATTTTACCAAAGTAAAGGGAATTTCTGCAATGAATGGAAGATTTTATTTCCTAAAATATTTTCTTTCGTGCTCAAGTTTGTGTACCTGAAAACTATTACAAATTGTGAAAGTAGAAATCAATTTGGCATGATGTGAAATGTTACCCTTACTTGTGCATGTTTGTGTTGTCTGCAATTATTTATCTTCAGGTGTTAAATTTTTGTGATTCTAAATCACATATTTGTGTATTAGATTGCAATAATAGGGGAAGTGGAGATCGAGAAAGTCTTTCAGCTACACGGCGAGAGCCAGGCAGAACCATGCCACGACAAGCAGCTGCCCTTGGTCACAGTTGGAGAGATCTAATTCCAGTCATAAAAATTGATGTTTGCACGGTAAATTCATTTTTTTAAATTTGTATTTCAGAATATGTTAGTATTGAGCAGAGGTCAGAAAGCAGAACATTTTTGTTACAATTACTTATAGGGAATAAGAAAAATGTTACGTATGTCCTGAACTTGTTTTTAAAATCTTTCAAAATCATGTAATGAATTATAATTCATGTTGTGGATTATTTATGAATAAATTGCTTGAAATCTTGTGTAATAGAGTTTAGTGCAACATATTTGCTCTGGGGCACAAATAAATTGTGAAGGTCTGATAACATTTCATTTTTCCCAAAATTTTGTTCAGTATTACCTCCAAAAGTTATTAATTTTTTTAAATTCAGTATTCTAGACTATCTTAATGAATTGGGTGCATCAATGAAATTAGGCTCATGCCACTTCAAAAATAAAAATGGAAAGATTTCTGAAATTTTTGCATTTACATTTTATTTATTTATAATTGTAAAAAAATTAGTTTTATAACAAAACTATCATAGTACCATAGAAAAAGTAAGCAAAATTAATTTCCAAAAAGTTTAAGACTTAGTATTGTATAGTTTAATACATTATTATGTTATGAAGAAACATAGTCCTTTATTTGACATAAAAATGTAATTAGTTTTCTTATTAAATACAAATATTGATGTGAGAATATTGATAATATTTTTCAGATAAACATGCTGAAATTGAATAATAATTTTTGTTTAAATGATTGTACATATATTATTTGTTATATCAATTTAATTATTTATCAAAACTGTCAAAAACATGAATGAAATCAAAATTTAGATGGTGGACCTGAGCTCAAATTTGTAATGCTGTTATACAAAAAAATAACATATGCACCTTGTTTATAATGTTCCTTTATTGCATTCATATTCATTTGAGAACTCACTCTTAATGTTGCTCGTTTTCAAAATATGTACTCGTGTAGTAAAGCGTAACATTATAAACTAGTTGCATTATGTACAATTATTTGTTTTCGGAGATTGTATTATGCCCTAGGGAATGCTTTGTAAGGGGCCCACAGGTGTGTACTTTTGCTCTCCTTTCCCTTTAATGTTTCTTTGTATTTAGTCTGGTAACTAAATCACAGGAGAAGCTTACTTTTTTTTTTTTGAGAGAGTTTTATAATGCTGTTGCGGCAGAAAACAGCAAATGTTTCAAGAGAAAAACTTGTATTATGGGACCGTCGTATCAAAATAAGTTTATAAATATTGTTCCTATGTGTAGTAAGTTACTTCCTCGAAAACGTTGGATAGTCAGAATCCACGATTTGAAGACATAAAATTCTTGGTTATTAAAATGAAATTTATTGTAATGAATCATTCTCTCAGTGAATATAGGTTGAATTTCTGTTAAATTCCATTCATTAAATAAAAAATTAAACTCATTTAATTTCAATTAATTAAAATTCAATCATTAAAAAAATATAATTCGTTGTATGAAATTTTTCTTGTTAATTTGTGTGAATTAGTTTCACAAAGAAAAGCTACATAGCAATTGTTTCTTGAAGCGTATCATTTTTCCTAATTTTGCAAAAATTTGTATTCATTTGATTTTTTTGATTGTTGATACAAATGACTGGATGTTTTTCTATTAGTGAATAGAATTTTGTTTAAGAAGTTAGTAAGGGAAATTTCGATTTTTTACAATCTTATTTAGTATTTATCATATTAATTCTGTATACTATTTGTTTATCAGGGCCGTGTTGTCTTTGGAAACCGACTGGTGCCTACAACATTATCTATAAATGTAGAGGAAGCCCATTTTGTTTACTCAACTAAACCATCAGCTTCTCGTCTTGATCCATTCATGCATTTTGTTAAATGTAGAGCAGAAAATTTTAAGGTGGGCTAAGAAGATATTAGTTGCTTTGTCAATATTTTGATAATGCATGGATATATTTTTCAACAACTTCATTGCCTGTTTAGGTCATTCTTGCTCCTAGCTTGCAATACACAGGAATGTTGGATGACCCTCCACGGTATATGGGGGAGGGCTTTGTTGTGCTGTCCTCAAATAATGTTGAACTTTATTATTATATGGATGAGCCAGGTTAGTACATAAAAATGTTTATTATCTAAGGATATTTATGTTCAGTCATTATTATGAAATATTTGTGAGAAATTTTCACGTATGAAAAATTTATTGTGCATGTAAATGTTTCAAACTTCTTGCAATTTGCTGATTCTTTCTTTGTTTCCAGAAAAAAAAAACATTTTTTCAAATAGAAAAACGTAATTTTGAATATGAATGTTTATTCCTTTAGATATAGAATGGGAAGTAGAATGAAAGGCACCTTGTGTGTGTTTATTTTAATTCAAATTAGTTAAGAATCAGTGATTAACGACTCAGAGTTTATTGTAGATATTGTTGAGTTGAGCAGGTAGTTCAGGTCTGAGGAAAACATTAAAAGCGGAACAGATCTTTTGATGAGAATGAAAATAATGTAGCACTTCTAACTTTCTCATAAAGAAAATATATGCCTCAGATTCTCCAAGAGTCTTACATTCTGAAGAAAATGTGTATATCGTCATTTTTGGAAAAGCAAGAATATGAAAATGTTACTGGCAAATAGTCATAGTAGTTTATTGTAGAATACGAGTTACAAATTGATATAGAATTTTTCCTCTGTGTGACTAGGAGAAATGAAGTGTTTAAGTGTCAGTGGATAATATTTTATTGTATATTCTAATAGTGATTCAGTGCCTGTGGAATATTTTCATTAGGTTTGGTGCCAGAAGAACCTGAGATGTTACAGCTAGCTAATGGAGATATAGTGGAATCTGCTCCACCCATTTGGGGAATTGATATCAAGGTATTGAGTAAAACTTGTATTGAAAAATAAGAAGTGGTGTTTTAGAACAATTAAAAATATTGTGTTTTGTTTGATAGTGTGGAAAAGGCACAGACTTCAGCTATGGACCCTGGGCAGATAGACAACGGGAACACCTCTTCAAATTCTTTTTTCCTAACAATTACCAACCTTTGCAGGTAAGAATGTTATCAGTTTTACCAGTTTTTAATAGCATGTATGTGTAATGATAATACTTTCTGGTATTTTATTTGTTTATGTCTATATCCACATGTTTTTAGGTCACTAAACCCCTTCAGCCTGGAGAAAAACGTCAAGCACAATCATTTGACATCCGTTTGAGTACTCTCAATGAAGCTACTATTGATATTTTATTCTCCAAAAATAAGGTAAGATCCAAATAAAATTAGAAGACTAGAGAGTGGTGATATTGGTGATTACGTACACCTTTTTTTCCTCTATTACATTACCCTAGTTTTCTGTATTACAATATCCGATTAAGAATAACAACAAAACTAACACGTTTCCTGCAGCTTGCAACATGCTTTAATACAATTAACTTAACATGACATTAATTTGATACGAAGTTCACCTTATAAAGACAAGCCTGCCCCAAACAGAGGTGTTAGAGCTACCATTGAAAGGTGCTGTGGGCAAATGATTTGCTACCAGGGGCATGTTCAATATTCAATATTAATTCTGGAAAGACTTGGTTCATTGAGCGGGGTTTTTTGTTTAAAGTGATATGCTTGCCTTAAATTGTTCTGTATTATTGTGTTATTGAATTATAGAAAGTAGTATTTTCTGTCTACATCTATATATACAGTGTGTCCAGAGAGAAAACAATGAAACTTTGAAAATAAGCTCTTAAGCCAATTTTAGGCATATTTTGTCTAACAAACTCCTTTGAAATTTTGAATGCCTACCTGAGCTGCAATAAACACTCAAAAGTAGGATTTTTAAAAAAGGCTTTTAATTTCAAAAATTTGTATTCCAGAAAAATATAAAATGTTTATTATTTACAAAAGAAATGAATATCTTTGTTCACGAAGAACAATTAACACAGAGATAATAAAGCACCCAATTCACACAATTAAATTACTTTTTATTAAATACACAAACCCATAATAATTTTTTAATTAATTTCTTTAAATTTCTTGCGTACTTCTTACACAAAGAAAGGATAGAAATGGTGTGGTTAAAATCAGTGACTTTTTGACAGAAAATTTTGAAATAAGTTTCTTGGGTCCCTGATACCAAAAAAGGAGATAATTCTTGTTCGTGTGAGTAGTAAATTAAATTAATTCCTCTTAATGTTTTGAGAAGTGAGACTCAAGGACCAAAAAGATATTGAAAATACCAATTTTTTTTTTTTTTTTACTTTCTCACCCTTACTTCATAAGAAGAGAAAGTATTGTAATCATTCACCAGAAAACAGTGAATTTTCCAGAGAAAAAGTATTATTGTCGGGCATTGGAATGTGATTGGTTTTGAAAAAGTGGATAATTCTCGTAGACAGAAACTCTGGGAAATACTAAAAGGGGAGAAACTTTCAAGTCAATTACTTCATGCAATCCAGAGTTTATATGAAAACTCCAATATTAAAATAATGTTAGGAGAAGGAGAAAGGTTTGCAACAATAACAACCAGCAGCAACCTAAGACTAGGATGTGGGCCCACTGGTACTTCTACCTTGACCACTGGTGTGTCACCCACTGGTACTTCTACCTTGAATGCTTCGTTATAGCCACTTGTTTTCAAATGTTCATATCTGATTTCTTTTATTTCTCTCATATTAAGCATTTTGTCACGTCATCTTCATTTGTTTCATTCCTGTTTTCCCACATACTGCTATCTGAATTTAGTTTCTTCCTGCAGTGACAGAATTGTAAAAGGTCTATTTTGTATGTAATTACATTTAATGAGGGAAAACTTGACATGAGAGAAGAGAAAGTAATGTCATAATGGCAAAAAGTAAAAATTACCTTAAATTAAGAAGTGGCATAAAATAACAAAACATGGCCTAATAAAATTATCCAAAGACCAAGCATAGGATTGGTAAAATGTTGATACAAGTTGCAGCATGTGTTATATATAAATAAAATAAGGAGCCCACACATGATCATCTGAGGAGTACTAGAGCTTCAGGGAGTACCAACCAACCGTGATACTGAGAGATGAATTTAGATATTGTTTCAAAGGCATTCAAAATCATTTGTTTATTGATTATTTATACAGGTGTACCAAGTAAGCCAATGTCCATTGTGTGACAAATAATGGAACCAAATTTATTTCAAAATTAATATTTATAAATTGTGAAATATGATGGTTTTACAGGAAACAAATGCAGTGCATATTAATATCGGCCCTGGTTCTTATCTGGAAGTTACAATGCCTTGGGTTGTCACATCTACTGGATACACAACAAAAATTACTGGACAGCTCCTTCACCTGGAAGCTACAACCAGCCTTCAGGTATGGTACAACTGCTTATTTATAGTGATCTTAAATTTGAAGAGTGGAAGTATCAAAAGCCAAAGTTAAGTTTTCAAGGAAAGTAAAGAATTTATTTTACTTTGCATAATTGTTTTTTTTGAACTGAAAAAATGTAGTATGACAAATCTTATTTACATGAAATTCTATTCAGTGCATTTATGACACAAACACTGTTAATGGAAAAAACAAAATATTTAACTGTTTTTTTGACAGAAAATGTATGTGCGCAGATAATCTTCTCCCCCCTACGTCACACACAGTTTTTACTGTTTTTTGACTGAATAAATCTAAATCTAAAAGTACATTAGTCAAATTGTGGGGCATTGAAAGGTGTGCCAATAATGGCTGGGATGAGCGGCTGCTTGACATTACATTTTTTAAATTGGTACTTAGAAGTTCTTGTAGAAAGCCATAGACCCATGGTTTTCCAAGTAAGGAATTGTGAATGACAAATTCTTTGAGTTTTTGAATGACATATTGTTTTAATTGCCAACATTATTGTTGTTGCAGATGTTAGATACGGTTTTCCTTTTTTCTAGATGTTTACTTTTTTCATATTCCATGCGGGTGTGGGTGGCGGGAGCAAGAGCAGGAGAGGGAGGGGAAGTATGTAGATTGCATGTAATCCTTACTGAACCCTTGGGATGTTCTCTGTTTTTACTGACTTAGGTGGCTCAGAGCATTGATTGATGTCACAGCAGGACCTCTGATCGGGAGGTCCTAGGGTTCAAGTCCTGATGGTTACAGGATTTTCAATATAGCTACAATAGCTAGGTTGAATCCAGCCCCTCTCTGGAGGAGAATTCTTGTGCCGGCTGCTCTGATTGGTAGTTTTCCGGGTGAATGACGGAGCAGTACCCCAACAAACCACGGACCATGCACATTCTTTCCTTCCCTTCCCCTATCCTCACACATTACTTTCACACACTTACATGCACTAAACTATTTCATATACTAGGAGACCAGTTGGGAGCTTAGAGCTTTCCCTGGCTGGGGAAGTGACTCACTAGTGGGAGATACCTGGTTAAGGAAACCCCCTGCAAGCCAACGTAGGTTGGCACCAGATATTGCCATCCAGTGGGGAAGATCACTACATCTCCAACAATACATATGAACTACACTTATGGGATTAATGGCCAAACGCGTTTAAATCTCTAATTAATCAATTAATTCTGTTATTTTATGTTTGCCTTGTCTTCAAACTCTCTCTTTCTCTTT